CGCTCGCCCCATGGCCCCCGCTCGCCCCCACGGTCCCCCTTTCACCTCACTCGCAGACTCCTCTCTAATCTTTGCTCTCAGATGAGTTCCTAGATTTTTTCCTTCTTCTACAACGAGTGTTTTGGAGCAAGAAAACATTTCACATCCAAGGCCACAGCAAGCTGCCGCCTTTCTTAAAAACGCGTAGCAGTAAAAGATTAAGTTCTGACATCTGGGACCACCCAGAAGGTTCTAGAACTTCTGAAGGCCCTGCGTGCCTCAGTCCTTACTCTCAAGTAATGCCACCGTTTAACTTTTTCCTTCTCCGACCTTTTTCCTCCCTCAAACGCCCAGGTGCGTTAGCGAGAACGTGGCCACCGGTAACGCGCTCACAGGCTTAGATCGAGCGCGTCTCCTCCGGTATTAGAAAGAGACGCCCACCAAGAAGCACAACGGCCCCACGTCCGTCCACCACGGAGCGCACCCGCCGAGCTCCCGCCGCGGCCCGGCGCCGCCCCCGGCCGCAGCCCCCCGGCCGCCGACCTCCTGCCCGCAGCCCCCCGCCCGCCGCCCTCCCGCCGGCCGCCGCTCACCTGAGCTCCAGCTGGTCCAGGCTCTCCAGCAGGCGGCTGGAGCGGTCGGCCATGGAGGAGGAGCGGCAGAAGCGCCCCTCGTTGGCTTTGGCGTTAATCTTCGCCTGAGCCATCTAAGCCTCCGAGGCGGGGCGGCAGAGAGGTCACCGGCCTCTCCGGCGGCAGCGAGTGGAGCGCTCGGGGCCGCAGGCGTCGCCGTCACCGCGCTGAGCGCCCGCCCTCCTTCTGACGCCCGCGGGGCGGCCCGGGAGGACGCGCCAACTGCGCGGCGGCCGCGTGGCCAAACAAGGACAGGCGCGGGCCCTGGTGCCCGGGAGCGGGCTTGCTGCCGCGGGGACCCGAGGACGGGCCAGCCGGGCCCGGGGCCCGAGGAGTCAAAGCCTCCGACACAGCGCGAAGGGCGGACGCAGGACGAAGAGGACCCGACACGGTCGGCGGACCCTGCGTCTCCCGGACCCGGGAAGAACCCGAAGCCGGCGCCGAGACCCGCGGGGCACGCCCGGCCCCGCCCCGCCCTCCCCGAAGTAACCCACTCCCCGTGCCGGCCTCTAACCGGGGTGTGCTGCTCCAGGCGGCTTCGTTCGGCTTCTCCCCGCACCCAGAGATCAAAGCCAGAACGACGCAAGAGTCCTTTGATGTGGGAGAAGAGGTCCCTGCGAAGCAGAGGACCTGCAGGTGCCCTTGAGAAAGTGCAGCTCCTGGGCAGTCTGTACTTAGCTGACCTGTCCAGTTACCAGGCACTCGCTTCCCTGAGTGACAACAGTGAAAGCCGGGGCATCACTGCAGCAAAGAAAAGCTACCCCGTCTTCTCCTGCCTAGCTAGATGTGGGAAGCAAGGCTAATTTTTCCACCCATTCTAATGAAGAGGTTTTACACTGTTTTACTACTGAAAAAAAATTATTCCTGTTGGAATTTGAGGTAAATTACTGGCATTAAGGAGGTCACCTCACATCCAAATTTTATTTAAATCCCGTGAAAGATGAAGTAGGGCCCTAGGTCAGACACCATAAAGGTCAGTATAAGAGTGTAAAGATTTGTATATTTAAAAAGCTGTGCTTTGCTTCCCTGTCACAATAGCTTTATGCCTCATACTGCAAGCATGAAAATGATACATAATAACTGTTTAAAGCTGAAATCATAACCTTTAATTAGAAATCAAAGCTATTTAAATACTTAAACAGATGCCCTCAAGCCTAGATCCATTTACTTTTGAACTCATTCTAAACACTTAACAATTGGTAGAGGGGATTATTGGGCTTTCTTAAAAATATTTTGTCATGACACAAATTTGAAATACAAACACATTTTGAGAATGGTTTTAAAGTCTATCAAGTAACTTTATAATCATCCTGGACTCTTTTTCTCTCATATCCTAGATCCAAATTCATTAGTAAAGCCCATCAATTGTACCTTCATTATACATCTAGATTCTTCTCGATTCCACTGCTACCACTCTGGTCCAAGACACAGGGTGAATCTGCACCTAGAGTACTGCAGTACCCTCCTCTGCTCTCTTCGCTGCTTCGCTTCTTGCCTCTCACAGAGAGTCCTCCTAAGGCAGCCACAGCAATCCTAAATAAGGCAGATCACACCACTTACTCAGAAACCTACAATGGCTCCTAGAGCAGAAGACAGGGTCTTTAGAAAAACCACAAGGACTTCATCTTCTATGCCCCTCCTAGCTCATCCTGCTTCAGCCATCCTGGCTGTCTTGCTTTTCCTTGAGTGTAACAAGTTCCCTTTAGACCAGTGGTTCTCAACTTTCCTAATGCTGTGACCCTTTAATACAGTTTATGTGGGTTGCGACCCACAGGTTGAGAACCGAGGCTTTGACCTTCTCCTCCTCCATCTGGAACCACTTCCTTATATTCAGAGGGTGCCAAAAAATAGATACACATTTTAAGAAGGGAAAAACCTGTATTAAAATTATAATAGTCAATATGTACCAATAACAAAAGATGAATACAAGTCACATTTAACTTGTGCAAGAACAAGAGGTGCTCAACGTGGTTACCATCAGCATCCAGACACTTCTGATTACAGCAAACTCCTGCTTGACCAATGTTGACCAAAGTATCCACTTACATCCCAGCACATGCCACTTTAGTTTCTTCCAAGTGCTGCCAGTGCACCTGGTTTTCCATGATACACATCATGTAAAGTCCCCAATAAGTAGACGTCAAGGGGTGTTAAGTCAGCAGAATGTGGGGGAAACTCGACTGCACCTCTTTGCCCTATCCACCGTCCTGGCAAATTCTCACTGAGGTAAGCTCTCATGTCTTGCTGAGTCTTGGGATGAAGACTTCCATTTTAAGAATGTGTTGTATGCTTGTTCTAACTGCAGTCTCACCAGTTCGGTGGACTTTTGTAAAGAGATGTGAACTGTTCCAACACCATGGGAGAAGCAGTACATGTTGTTGCGCTAGTACCATGTGTCTCAGACTTATCAAGAATATGTGCAATTGTTAGGCCTCTCAGAGATTCTGTTGCATACTTGTGCCTCCATTGTCACTGTATTTCCGTAACGTTCTTGAATTTAAAAAACAATTTCAAAATGGTTGTGTACTCCTTGAATGACAGCCTGCTTCCACCACTTTCGATTGTCCTGCCTATCACATGGTGACACTAGCATTCATTTGATTAAAGCTATCTTTTGGCTGGTGGATCACCTGAGCTCAGGAGTTCTCAATCAACCTGAGCAACTGCGAGTCCCTGTCTCAATTAAAAATGGAAAAATTAGCCAGGCGCTATGGTGAGTGGCTGTATCCCAGCCACTTGGGAGGCTGAGGCAAGAGGATTGGCTTGAGCCCAAATATTTGAGGTTGCTGTGGGCTATGATACCACAGCTCTCTAACCAGGGTGACAGAGTGAGACTCTGTCTCAAAAGAAAAAAAAGCTATCTTTTGAGTGAACATCATATCACATATTGACATATTGCTATCATAATTCAATTTTGAAAAGTAGTAACATAGCTAGGCAGGTGGATCACTTGGTTTGAGGTTGCTGTGAGCTATGACACCATGGCACTTTACCCAAGGCAACAAAGTGAGACTCAGTCTCAAGAAAAGAAAAGAAAAGAAATACATATAGATAAAATCTCTTAAAATGTGTATACAATTTTTTGGCATCTCTGTATTTGCATGGCCCATTCCCACCTTCCTAAGGTCTTTGTTCAAATTCATCTGTCAGTGAGAATGTTTCTTAACCACCCTATTAAAAATAGCAGGCCTGGGTGGCACCTGTGGCTCAGTGAGTAGGGTGCTGGCCCCATATATGGAGGGTGACAAAGTGAAACTCTGTCTCTTCAAAAAAAAAAAAAAATAGCAGGCCTCACCCCACATACCCATTCCTGCATTATTTATTCCCTTACCTCCATTTTCCTATTAAACTTACCACCATCAGATATGCTATTTTATTTACTTGGTTATCTCACACTCCATGAAATCCTCACCTCTCCCCATTGTGTGCTCCATAAAGGGGTGGGGGCTTTGTTTTGTTCACTGGTGTACTGGAGTGCTTAGAACAGTCACTGGCACATGGTAGGTACTCAGTAAATATATGAGTGAAAAATGAATGAATATATGACAATTAAAAAATCAGCATTTTTATCAGTGTTAGAAACTTTTACTTTTGCTAATAATCCATATAACTTTGTCTAATATCATACAAAGATTACATCTCCTCCTCCTGTGTCTAAATTAAGTTCAAATTATGAAATAATTTTAAAATGATTTTTAATTATTTAACAAGTAGAAATACAATCAGTGACAATTATTAGTTGAAACATTAAACCACCCAATTACCTTATTTTAAGGGCCATGATGAAATAAATATTCCTTTCCTGTCATATCAAAGGCTTCAATTATTCTCTACCACAAACCACAAAAGCTTCTTATAGAGCACGGTGTACATCATACCCGGGTGTATAATCTCTGGCAAAAAGGTGCCCTGTCCTCCTGCCCCACACCTGCTTAACCATTCCTCTTTCTGAAATACTCTTTTGGCTCCTGGCTACTTAGCAAGCTCCTGCAGATGTGTTAAAGGTCCAGCTCATTGATTACCTCCTAAAGCTGACCACTTTAACATAAAAATTAAAAGCACAGTGTGGTCAGTTTGGAAATATGATGGTAAAATTCTCATGCTACACTGTCTCCTTTTTAGAAAATGCAAACAGGGAGGAAAAGTACATCTTAAGAAATAAAAACACAAATTGGTTTCTAACATGGATCGAAAAGACTAAAGTAATAAAAAAATTCCATTTCACACTAAAAAAATCTAGTGTGGCAGAGAAGGAACAAAATTCTAGGCTTGATAACTTTTTGTCGTAAATACAAAGAAAAGCTTTATATTTATAGAAATATTTTTGAGTTTAATAGATAAGTACTACTCAAAATTTTTAGGGATAAGGTTTCTGGTCAAATAACATGAAATGTATACACAACATACCACTAGTACTACAAGCCATTCTTAGTCTTCTACTTAAATGGTACTTTTCATCATTCACAATGGGGCTGGCAACATTGAAGAATTAAATATGTAATACCAAACATAGGAAACTGACAATTCAATGAGAAACTAAACTGAAGATATTCCATCTGAAATAAAAATCTTGAAGACTTATGGAAGATTATTCCTGAGTAGACTGTCAACTACAGTTTTTGAAGATTATGTTTACACAAATATATAGAAAAGGACTGATATTAAAAATAAGTTTAATTTTATGCAAATATGTTGACATCATTCCCTTTTAACAGTAGATCATACAAGTCACATAAAAGTCTAAGCAGGTAAAAGGAATGGAAAAGGCTTCATTTTATTTTTTTAAAAATTAAGGTATAATTTTTAATTTTAGCAATGTTCTACTCTAATTAAAGGAAGAATATATATCTGCGTGACACCCAACAAAAATATCTCTGGTAAAATTTTTAATCTGTTTCCATGATTAATTTCCATTACCCTCTGCTAATAATTGTAAACAAAATCTGAAAGGTATCACATATCAGAGCCACACGAGAAGTAAGAAAACGGACCTATGGCACCTTTACTTGTGTTCATTTTCATGCCTAAAAAAATAAACTAGAATCATCTGTACAGTACAGACAAAACTAAAGAACTAATACTATCTGGAAACTTAAACAACAGCCAGTCAAGAGCTTTCCTTTTTTTAAAATTCTTTTAAAGTAAATATATGAATTCAAAGTTAACTGGGAAACTATGATAGCTATATTAGAATACATGATTTATATTTGCATTAACATGTATTCTATTCCTGTCCATTTCTGCACAATAGCACAAAAATACAAAGCAAATATCAGATTTTGAACATATGAAAGCAAAAACATGTTTTCGAATACATTTGTACTAGTGGATTTCTGATCTCCTTTAGGAAACAAACTCAAGAGTTCCTTATCCTGAGTCTCTTCAAGGTCACTTGATGTTGTGTGGTAATAGCTTTAATTACATTTCCTCAAGACTTCTTCTAATAGCTTCTTCTAATTCCACATCTGCATTAAAAAAATACAGAATTTTAATACTTAGAGCAGAAAACTAACATGCTTTATGTAAGTTTCATCAACTATATTCATCTTTTTAACAAGGAAAGGAAAATCAAAATGGAAACTTAGGATAACTTGGCAGTTTTGAGTACTTTGAAATATGAAAATCTAGATATGATTTCAAATTGAATTTTAAATATATATGAACATAATGTGCTAAGGAACATGCAACTTATTTCCAATTAGAGAAATAGAAAATCAACAAACTTTTTGAATCACTGAGAAGTAATCGTTTGTTTCAAGTATTTTAAAAATACGTATCACTTATTTCCTAAAAGAATTAAGGTGGTATAGAAAGGCAACACCATGATATGACAAAACCTCATAGGCTATTAAAAATTTAGCTTTTTTTGTCAATTATGCCCCAGTAAAGCTGGGGGAAACTGAACTTTAAGTTTCTAGTATCTAAGACAATGAAACTGATGGCTATATAAATGACACCTGGGAAGCATGTAATAGATACTGCATGCAGGTGTATGCAAACTCATTTTAAAAATATTTATTGAATACTCTCTATATCAGGGATAGGAATACAACAGTGAACAAGACAAAAATTATTGGGTTCACAGGTTTTTTTCCCTCTCTTCCCTAATGATGCCAAAGCCCAGTGTCAATTTCTTGGCCTTTATTAAGAGTCTCATACCAGATTTTTTTCACCTACCTGGTCCACAGTGTCTCAGAACCTACTTAGTTTACAGACAACAGTGATCCCTTTAAGATGCAACAGCATCTTAAGTGGAGGCACTGGTATGTGTTGTCTGTGATTTAAAATACTATAAGTTACTATAAACTGAGTATTAAGTTAAAACTATATTCTAGTTGCACTAAGATGAATTCAAAGGGATGAGGAAATGCAAAGAAAAACCAAGACAGATTTACCAAAGAAAAACAAGGTGACAAGAATTATCTAAGATATGAAAGTTATAGCAAATAATGTAATAGTACAAAATGGGGTACTAGTGCAAAAACTGCTAAAAAGACAAAAAGAACAGCAGAGACAGCTCAGAAAAACCGGTGTAAGACAAAGGGAGCATTGCAGGATGGTGAGAAAAAGGTCTTTTTCTAAATAAATGGTGGTGGGTCAATTAATAGAAATGTGTAAAATTTTAGCTCTAAGGATTAGACAAAAATAAGTTTCAGAGATGTTTAGCTAATTGTGAAAGGCTAGACAAAAAAGCTTCTAGAAGATAATAAATGGCAATGTCTTTAGGATCTTAATGTAGGGGGAGATTTATTAAACAAGAGTCCAAAAACATTACAGAAAAGACTGATAACTTGGACTAAATTAAAATTGCTCTTGTCTATCAAAAAGCACCATTCAGTGGTCAAAAAGGCAAGTTAGGCCAGTTGGGGTGGCTCACACCTGTAATCTTAGCACTTTGGGAGGCTGAGGTGGGTGGCTCTCCTGAGCTCGGGGTTAAACACCAGCCTGAGCAAGAGCAAGACCCCATCTCTACTAAAAATAGAAAAACTAGCCAAGCTTTGTGGCAGGTGCATGGAGTCCAGCTACTTGGAATGGTGGGACAAAAGGATCACTTCAGCCCAACAGTTTGAGGTTGCTACGGGCTATGATTCCACAGCCCTCTAACCAGCTAAGAGTGAGACTTTGTTCCCCCAACCCTCCAAAAAGGCAAGTCCCAAAGTGGGAGAAAATAATTGCAATATATAGAACTTGTGCCCAGAAAAAACCTGAAAGATTTTTCAACCTAGAAAAATAAAATACAATCCAATAGAAAAATGTCAAGAAATTTAAATAGCATTCATAAAAAGAAGTTTAAATAGTCATTATAAACATTATTCATCTTAAAAATAGAAATTAAAACCACAAAGAAATGCCAGTATATACTCATCAGACTAGCCAAAATTAAAAAGATTAAACAACTTCAATGATTAGTGAAGATGTAGATAAATGGGATCTTATATATATAACTAGAACAAATGAAATTGGCATAGTCACTTTGTTAAAAGTTTGTCACATCTGTTCATGTTGAACAATTCCACTCCTATGTATATATTCCCAGAAATGTGGACATAGACGCATCAGGAGATAGATATGAGAATGTTCACACTAATAAAAGCCAAAAGTACAAATTAAATGGTTATAAATAATAAAATAGGTAGATTGTGGTATATGTGCAGAATAAGATATTATACCAAAAAAAAAAAACACAAAAGCTACATGCTAAAATGCAGATGTATCTCTAAAACAATGGTAACTGAAGGAAATCAGACACAAAAGAATATACTATATACCTATGTTGTCCTATATGACAGACATTAACTATATGTGGTTATTTATATTTAAATCAATTAAAATTTAGTTCCTCAGTCAAGACACAAATCAAGTGCTTTCATAGCCATATATGACTAGTGACAACCATATTAGGCAGTGTAGATACAGAACTATTTTCACTGTCACAGGAAGTTCTCTTGGACAGTGATGGTATATATAACTCCATTTAGATATCAAAACCAGTACTGAACTAGTGTTTCAAATCATTAATAGTGGTTATTAACCTTTGGAAAGGAGGGCAGAAGTAAACAGAATAGGGCCTGAGGGGGACATTTCTGGAGTATTGGTTGTTAGGCACTGAATTGTGTCTCCCCTCTCATAAAAGATATGTCCTAATCTCTGGAGCCTGGGAATGTGACCTAATTTGGAAACAGGGTCTTTGTAGGCATAATCAAGCTAAAATAAGGTCATTAGGGTCAGTCTTAACCCAAAGACTGGTGGCAGGGACTGGAACAGAGGTCCTTAAACTTTTTGAACAGGGGGCCAGTTCACTGTCCCTCAAACAGTTGGAGGGCCGGGCTGCAGGCCCCAGATGAGTCAGCTGCTAAGTAGGATAGGGAGCAGCAGCAAAAACACCCAGTGGGCTGGATAAATGTTCTTGGCGGGCCATAGTTTGAGGACGCCTGGACTGGAATGATGCATCTATAAGCCAAAGAATCCCTACAGCTGCCAATGACTGTGAGAAGTTAGGAGAGGGTGTATGGCCTTGTCAAAAGCTTGGTGGGATAAGATGTGGAGGTGAAGATAGTAATAACGTGTGTTTACTTTTTAACGGAAAAGTTTAAGAAATAATAAAATAATTTTTTAAAACTTTTTGATTCTTTTGTAGTATACTTATTTTAAAACACAAATACACTGTATAGCTTCAAAAATATTTTCTTTGTACTTTTATTCTGTAAGATTTTTTTCAATTTAAAAAGTTTATAAAGTAAAAGTTATAGTAAGCTAAGGTTTACTTATTATTGAAGAATACATTTTTTTTTCTTTTTTTTGAGACAGAGCCTCAAGCTGTCACCTTGGGTAGAGTGCCGTAGTGTCACAGCTCATAGCAACCTCCAACTCCTGGGCTCAAGCAAGTCTCCTGCCTCCACCTCCCAAGTAGCTGGGATTATAGGCGCCCACCACAATGCCTGGCTATTTTTTGGTTGCGGCCGTCGTTGTTTGGCAGGCCCAGGCTGGATTTGAACCCGCCAGCTCAGGTGTATGTGGCTGGCGCCTTAGCCATTTGAGCCACAGGAGCCTAGCTGAAGAATACATTTTTAAATAAATTCAATGTAGCCTAACTGTACAGTGTTTATACAGTCCACAGCTGTATCTATGTTCCTCTTACTCTCTTTTCTCTCTTCCTTTAATTCACTCTCTTCAAGCATGGTAACTATAGGAGAATAAAAAAGAACCCAAGAGAAGTAGTTAGAAGACTTATCTACAATTGTTACTCTAATCATTTAAAGCTGTGAATCTGAGGCCAAAGTACTTATGAAGCTTCAGGTTTTAAATAAAAAGAAGAGAATAGTCTGACTTTCACAAGTTAAGATAAAGAGCAATTTAGAAAGTAGTATGGACAGAGCCTGTGGCTCAAAGGAGTAGGGAGCTGGCCCCATATGCCAGAGGTGGTGGGTTCAAGCCCAGCCCTGGCCAAAAACTATAAAAAAAAAAAAAAAAAAAATTTAGAAAGTAGTAGTAGTTTGTTCATAAACTTTAACTGAATTTTTTAAATGAACATTCTAGTCTCTTTTATCCTTTCTTTGTTCCTTAAACAGGCCACAACATGGAGTTCTAACATTTATATTATAATACTAATCAAAATATAGATGATTGCTATTAATCGAAAGAACTGTAAGAGTAAAGCAAACTGCTAACATTTATAGGAAGATGGGTTTGCATGGGCAACCATTCATCTACATAATGCTGTCCTCTCTTTTCCACTAACTGGAGTCAGAACACCTCTATTTAGTAGGCATACTTCTAGAGTAGACGTTGATGAAGAAAAAGGTAAAATATGGTATAATGACGATAATAATCACAGTAACAGTAGCAGCAACCAATACATACATGGTTGCCATGTGCCATGTTTTTCTAGTACAGTAAGTCAACTAGTATTTCCATTTTAAAACTGAGGAAATGGAAGCAAAATGAAGTGCTTGGCCAGTATCACACAATTTGTAAGCAGCAGAGGTAAGTGTTTACTGAGGCAGTTTGAATCCAAACTCTGTACTCTTTAACACACTGTATGTCCTCTATTTCCCCTGTCTAGTGTATAAAGTAGATTGTTATGACTAGCTTGGGTGATCAGGGTCTGATGTTGGTCTATGGAGAATAACAAAGAATGAGACATATTATGGTGAGGGGATTTAGCCCTCTCCTAAAGCAAAAGCCACAAACAAATTTACCTGCCTTTTGCCACCATTTGTAGGCATTTACGGTGTTGTGTTGAAGAGGAAGGAATGAGAAGAGATTTGACAGGTTGTTTTAAACTTTTTGGAGTTTTGCTATCATGTCTAGACTAGAACATTATTTTGCTTTCATGGTGCAGGGTCAATAACATCACCAATATTTTCCAAGCCAAATGGCTTAGGTCTTAATTTCCCTTATCCAGTTATAGAAAGAGGGGTCCTGGTAGCTCTAACATGTTTCAAGTTTGATATAAGTTTATTCATTCAACAAGTAATCATTTAGTGTCAAACAGTATGCTAGGTGCTGCTGAAGTTAAGATAAATAAAACATGATCCTACTTCTCCAAGAGCTCACAATCCAGTGGAGATGAGAGCTACAGACAGCAATATTTTATATCTCCTTAGTATGGTACACTGGGAGCCTAGAAAGCAGGAGTGGGTAGCTCTGTTTAAAGACAGAAAATGTAGTGAGGCACTGACAATACAAAATTGCCTATAAAAATGGTAATTCCATATGATTCAACTAAGAGACATTTGAGCTAGTTTTGGGGGGGTGGGTAAACAGGAGAGGAAAAAAGAAGGATATCAGAGAAAAATGCAGAAGAGCTCATATTCCTTAAATTCCATGGAACACTGTGTGTTTCTCACACTTATTTACATAAAGTAGCAGGAAATAAAACAAAACCCACACTTGTACAAACACACTCCTTTGATTTTTCTTGAAATTAAGAGCATTATATCCCTACCTCATCATATGACAACTAATTAAAAGTTTAAATTATCTTTTTTTGAATCCTGGAATAGTTAATTCTTTTTCCAAACTAAAGAGTCACAAAAATGTAAGATCTCAATCTCTAAACCATAAAATACATTACATAGGTAAGAACATTCTGGTGTATATACAGTTATACACACCTCAGATTTCCTGGGTTAGCCAGGACACAAAACTGTGAAGGCTTCCAAAATATAGTATTTAAAAGTTACAATTTTATTTGGATTTTCCAAGAGATTAGTCATGGGATAGCAAATAAAGGCTGCAAAATCTGAATTCCTTAGATGTTCAATGGCGTTTACCTTGTAGCAGACCTGATAAACACTTTAGCTGGCAGTTATAGTTTAAACTCATAAAAGCTTTTTTATTTAATTCATCATTATGTGGCTGCTGAATATTGGCTAGACCTTGAAAGACTATGCTGTGAAAACAAATTGGTTGAAAATTTTGCTTCCAATTAGGCTAGAGATTTACTGCCAACTTTAACCAATGAATTCTGGCTGGCTATAAGACAAGATTATAGAGTTTCCTATCTCATCAAATGGATGAATCAATTTCACTGCCAGACTTGAATTTCCAAACTCTAATAACACAAAGCTCTAGCATGCTCTTGGTCAAACTAATTGCCTCATCAGAGAGATTAAGCAAATGCACACAGAACACTCAGCTGGGCACTGTAGGACCCTGCAAGTGCTGAGCAGCTTCCACCCATGCTTTCCAGCCTCATCTTCTCACGCTCAAGTCTACAACAACAGGGACGCGCCTGTGGCTCAGTGGATAGGACGCCAGCCCCATATACCAAGGGTGGAGGGTTCAAACCCAGCCCTGCCCAAACTGCAACAAAAATAACAACAAAATAGCAGGGCGTTGTGGCGGGCACCTGTAGTCCCAGCTACTCCGGAGGCTGAGGCAAGAGAATCACCCAAGCCCAGGAGTTGGAGGTTGCTATGAGCTGTGACACCACGGCACTCTACCACAGGTGATAAAGTGAGACCCTGTCTCCGCCAAAAAAAAAAAAAAAAAAAGTCTACAACAATAAACACTACACTGGAATTGTACATGAAGACTCCTACTATTTTCCTTTAATGTCAAAAATGCTAATATAATCAATATCTTCAACTTCTCTGGTGATGTGCAAAGTATTTTTTAAGATTCATGATCTCATCTCCTCCTAGGGTTTTAAAAAGTGAAGACAGTTATGAGAAAAAATCAAAGTAAAAAATGCTCAACAACCAAATAGTGGTACATCTAGTGAATGATTTCATGTCAAATGACACAAAAGTTCTCTTTAACCTATAGAAAACTAGGTAGGAAGACTAGATTTGGCTGACTCTTGGTCTAGGCTTCTAAACTAGTATTACTTCCTAAGTCACTTGCTTCAGAAAATACAATCTATGCTTTAAACTGGTAATTTTAACTTGGGGGTAGATATGAATGGGGTGGGGGTTAAGGTATGATACAGAAAGAAAAAATACAGATACAGTCAAGAAAAGAAATGATTAACTCTATCAGGTTACCTTCTGTGGATCTGAATTCTTCTATTGATGTACTTTTTATACCCACATTATCATCACTGTCACATTCTGTAAGAAAAAAATCAATAAATGTAACTGTATGTCTGAAAAAGTTATCATGCCATCATTCATGTATTCTCACACAATATTATTTTAATAATATCTCTAATACTCAAGCTTATTAGTTATAATTGATTAGTATTCTACGACTTTCTCATTAGGTTTTTTATTCAAATGCTTACCAAATAATATAAAAAATGGTGACATTAACTGCTTTTGTATTTCGAAAATCATATGCATTCATCTCTAGAGATGACATCATAAGTTTTAGTTTAATGTGCCTCTTGCATGGTCAAACTCACTTACCTGATGTTTTACAGGAGTTCACAGCGAGAGACCGAAGGCTTTAGTAAATGAGATGACTCACCATGTACTGTAAAAGTCACTTCAGATTTGAACTATGGAGGGACTTTACCTAACAAATGGAATAGGGTAAACTGGTTCTTTGTACCTTCAATGAATCCCTAACAATTAAAAAAAGAAAGAAAGAAAATGATCTGAACTATGGAGCCTAAGGAAACAGGATGACTAAATATCATGTGGGAACCTAACTGTGGTCCTGGGACAGAAAAAGGACATTAAGGGAAAACCAAAGGAATCTAAATAAAGTTTGTATTTTAGTAATAATGTGTCAGTACTGGTCCTCTAATTATAAGCATCATGCTAATATAAGATATTAATATAAGGGGAATTTGGGTGTGAGATACATGGGAACTCTCTGTACTTTCTTGACAACCTTTCTATAAATCTAAAACTGTCCTGAAGAAAATTTAGCTTAAAAAAAATTTAAACATGGTACTATCAATGGCCTGTTATTACTTTACATTTAAACCAATGTATATCAATTGATATCGATATCTAATGACATATAGGCATATCAGTATATATGATAGATATGTCACAGTGATTGAATCAGCACTTAAATAACTGAACATGAGTTATACCAACATATTCACTTCTGAATGCTCCAAAAAGGTTACGGCACTACTTCTAATTCTAATCCCAACACCTTGAGGAGCACCTAAAGGTGGTACTTACTGGTTTAATCATGGCCTCATAATTAAAGGGAAAATTACAATGCTAACCATTTTCCCTGGCTATGTTCAGCCTATAGTCAGTTTACTTTTTTAAAGCACCAGAATTAACAACCAAACCTTTTTATCTTCTGACAAAAAAAGAAACTTTTTGAATGTTATTAAAAAGAAAAAAACTCATATTTAATCTTATATAAAACTCTGTAATGTCATCAGACTGTAGCAGATCACCTCTCATTATCTTCATTCTATAAGGACATGGTTAGAGCCAGTAATTCACACTGGGTGGCTATCTCTAAATTATGGAATCAGTATTTGTGTCAGTGAAGCCTCACCCTTTGCACTAATACTGATGAAAAGCCCTTGCTGTGTGGCCAAAGAAAGGTTATTTAAGCTCTGCTTTTTTCCTCACCCATAAAATGGGGGTACTTGAACAATCTGACTCCATAATGTCCAAAGAGAATTAAAAAAAAAACATAGAAAGTCATTTTAAACACTACAAATATAAAAAGAAACTAGCATGGTGGTTGGCACATAATACAATAAAGCTTAGTTTACCTTTCTCTTCTTTAAACATTTAAGTGACAAGTTACCATATATCTTCATCTCTGAAACATGAGGCTTGAGTTAGAATAAAAATCTATTTGGGAATAAAATGTAAAAATCTAAAAGAAAAAGTCTACCTGGCCTCTTTGATTAGAATTATTGGAAAGGATCATGTATCTTGTAAGGTTTAAGAAAGTGAGGATGAGCATAATATAAAATAGAATTGATGAAACACAGGGGGACCAAAGGGGCCAATTAAGGATAGGTGGATCTAATTTTTTTAAATGTGTCTACAAGAACTTATACACATATCATAGCTATAATTAGAATGTTGGTGTTGAAACTCTGATGCTTGTAAGAAGAACATTTAAATTTCTACCTTCGGGCTCACTTCACTACAAAAAGTGACTTGTCCTAACTAACCAAGTCAGAGACTTAACCCTTCCTCTCCCCACCAAGGATAAAGGTAGTAATACCTTAGGGTCAAATGACTGTGTATCAATCTAAGGACCTCTGAATATCTCTGTTTTACTGAGATAAGTACTTTGTAAAAGACTTTCAAATAACTGAAAAATTGGCAAAAGCAGAATTATCCAAGTATAAGACAACATATGATCATTGATTCTTATGCCACTATATCAAAAGAGTCTTTCTTTTTATATAGGAATCTCTATTCTAATAAAAATCACTTTCTGGTCTTAGAATAGTAAATTTCTAAAAAGTTATAAAGAATAAGAGACTCAAACTTGTATCATCTCTGTATGCTTTGGTGGGATATTTAAATCTGAAAATCACCAGACTGTCTTTATAATAATGACAGAAAGAACTTCTTACTATTTGTTACTTACTATAAACTTCAGTTATATCCTAACGATGAGAGTTTTTTTGTTGGTTGGTTACTAGCAGTGCTGAATCCCTTGAAATTGTATGTAAAATTGTAAACACATGCTTATTTGGTGGGGAAAGGGATTTAGAAAGCTTTCATCAGGCTCAGTGCCTATGGCTCAAGCAGCTAAGGCACCAGCCACATACACCTAAGGTGGCAAGTTCAAATCCAGCCCAGGCC